TATTTTTACCTTATAATTCGAATAGAATTTGAATTTGAAAAAATAATTTGCTTTAACGCGAATCAAAATCGTAAAGGAGATTGAAAGCATGAATTCAATAAGGACTTATGGAAGCATGGAAGCAAATTTATCAATTTGCCTTTAAATTATCTTCAAACAATACTAATCGACGAAGTTGTTAAGGTAGAACGATTGTCTGCAAATTAGCCTTCTATGGCTTATTACGAGCAGTGCTTGGTTCTCTCCTATTTGGCATTAAACACATAAAATTGAATAATAAATGGATTTGGACCATTCTCGATGATCTTTCTAAAATTGCTTTCATCCATTAATATTTCAGTTTCCTTATTAAGTAATTCGATTTAGCCGGTCGATTCTTCGAATAATTTAGTTGTACGGCATATTTATGGCAATTTTTAGATCGAAAGGTATTGAAAATCGTTAAAAGTTCTCTTAATTTTTCTATTTTTGAAGCGGGAAATGCAAAAAATTTTACAAATTATATACATAAACTTTATTGCATTTTTATATTTGAAAACTCGAAAAAGTTGATTTATTTTTGAAAGTGTCGAAAATTCTGATTCCTTAACATGCAAATTTCCTATTTTTTTCGCAAATTTTTCAACGTATGGTTACTTATTTTCAAAGAAATTGCTGCAGGCTTTTTTGACGAATTAACTTGCACAAAAATGACAAAATTTGAAAAACAACAAATTATAATTTATTGTACTAAATAGCATTTGGCGTGCCTTTTATAATTAAAGATTCTAATATTAATTAAATATTTACCATAGAATGGGGTCATTAAACTGAATTTTGATTGACATGCAATGAGCGATAAACAAATAAATAACGAAAATAATGGACAAATTGATTTTACGATATTTTATTTAATTAAATTTAAAATGAAATATAATTTGACAATTTTATTTAAAAATTAAAAAATTTATTTATTATTTATTAATTAAAAATTCTACAAAATTTAAAAATTTTACAAAATTTGCATAATTATATATTTTTATAAAAAATAAGCGAATAAGCTTTTTCTTGAAATTAATGCAAAATAGATCGAAGCAATAAATCGTGAAAAATTAATTTTATCTAAAACATCAAATGAGAGCGAATAGGTGAAAATTTGCAAAAAAATATTTAAAAGCATTTAAATATTTAAAAATAATATTTGTAGTTGTACGCTTCACTTCGCTTATTTTGATTACCGCTTGAGGAAACGAAATTATTTCTTTCACCGAGAGACTGCGAGAAATTCCGAAGGGAGTTTTTTTTTCCAATGGTCAAATTTAGTAGTTTTTTTGCATATTGCAATTTTTGTTGGGAAATTATTGCATTTCTATTATTCTCTCATTTTTTGCATTTTTAATTTTCTACGAGAATTTTAAATAATTTCATATAAAAAGTACATTTTTTAAGATGTTAATTTTGCAATAAAACAGCTCAAAAAACTTTTGAATTTAGTCAATGAAGTTTGAGAAAAATCGCATAGGAGCAATTTACAGGAAATAGGGAATAGAAACGACTCAATGGATTATTGCTATCACCTCCGTTCGCTTCATAAGCCAACATAAGCCATTCTATAGTTTCCCCGATTCTATAAGAAACCTTGGAAATTTTCCTCTCCTATCGGTAATCATCTATTTAAGAAAACAAAAAAATTTATGCACATGGACACAGGCAAAAGTTTTATTTTATGTAGTATTTTATCGGTCTAATTTTAAAAATATTAATGCAAAGTACAACGGCTTAGTGTGTTGTTGCTCATTTCGGCACGCCAATGCTGAAGTTCAACTACCCACAGGAATATACCTGTTGTGTACGTGATACTGGCGGCTCATCCTGTTCTTCTATTGCCACTGGACTCCCTGGCTTATTTCTCCAGTACGGTAAGCCAGCGAAGCGAGTTCAACCAGTAATAGTGGGAGTCTTATAAAAAAATGGGCATTGATATTATTTAACTGTTTTTTAAAATAGCTTTTAAATTTAATTGGATTTAAATTTAGCTCAAAATTATAATATTTTATAATAAAATTATAACATTAAAGGAAAAAATATGGCACGATACCATATAAAATTTATTAATTAAATGTTGTTTAATTTTTTGAACAAAGAGAAGACTGAGAGAATCGATGGATAGAATCTTTCTGGAGTTCTTTCCGTTATTTTACATGATTTGCGGTGCCTATTAGAATATGAGGAAAAAAAAAATATAAATAAATTTTTGAAGAGCCTTTATTTTTATTCTGTGAAATGTAGGATTTTATTTGAATAAGCAGAATATCGCTTTGAAATTTACTTATATTTTCCACACTAAGAAATTTACACCCTAAGAAATTTTCCTTACTAAGAAATTTAGAAATTTAAAAATTTACATATCTAGGAAATTAAAATTGATGCAATTTATCCAAAATTCGCTAATTTAAGTACCAATTGAAAATGGACGGATTAGATTTCTTTTCAGTTCTTTTTTCTTATAATTCGTTTAACAATGGTACAAAATTGGATTGAAAATTTTTAAAGTATTTTTTTTTAAAGAAATTGTTGATTTGTTCAAAAAAAGCAGTTCAAATCGTTTATTTCGAGAAATAAAAGAGAAATAATTATAAAATTTATAGAAATTTTTATTAGAGTATTTATTATGCGTCGATTCCATAATAATTTTAAACGATTGTCTCTTTTCCTGAAAATTTTGTTTTAGTTTTATTAATAATAAATGGCATTTTAAATATTTCGCTTGAACTATTGAAATACTTCCAAAATAATCATTAGCTTTGTCGCCTTGAAAAAATGCGACAAACGTGTAAGTTTCAAAGTTTGAAATTGTATTAAACATATTTTTCTAAAATAATTAATTTTTTAAATAAAATTACGTACAATTGGATCTTACGAACATATTGAAATCGCGACTGCTAAGAGGAGCAGAAGGAGTTGTTGGATTCGGAAAGCATTTGCCATCCTTTTCAAAAAAGTTTTCGATGCATCTGCAATCCGACGATCTTATACAGCCATATTTTAAGTCGGTGTACATATCCCAGATACAATCCTCATAATAAATTTTGTTTGCACCGCAGGAGCGTTCTACCGAAATCATTATAAAAACGGCTTCATCACAGCTCATTAAGAAAATCTAAAAAATTTTTTGGAAATTTATTTTGATTAAATCTGCTTTCGGAAGCTTTTCAAAAATTCTGCCCAAACTGCCTTTTTAAATATTTGCATATTTCTACGATTCTAAATCAAGCTACGATCATTTCATTTTATCAGACAAATGATAAGGGCGAAATAAAGTAAGTGGAAAACAGTATCTGGGACAATCTTCCAGCGTATTTAGTCTAGTTAAATAAATGATTATCATTGATTTACTTCACTCATTATCAGCAGAATGAGGAAGGAAATCAGTGCAAGAAAAATATTGATGAAATACTGATAGCTCTAATCCAATTTTTTAGTGAAGTACTTAACCTTGGAGTATGGCCGAAATCGTCTTAATTATCGTCATTTATTATCTAAGCAACTCGACTATTGTATTTCGTCATATTTGGATTATTATAAAAATTTATAAATATTTTTAAAATTTCAAATCTTAATGAAATTCAGCAAGGAGAAAAGATTTACGAGGATGGCGATATAGTGAAGCATGAGTGATAACGTAGTTGGCGGCACAAAATATGATTTAGCATGAATGCAGTTCCCCTTTATAAAGGAACTTTTTAACTAAACTTTGCTCTAATAATGAATAATTCATGAGGAATAATAATTTATATCGAAATCGGAAATACGGAATATTATATTACGGAAGCGTAAATATTTTTTCATCAACCATACAATGTTCAGAGCGCTAATCCATTTTAGTACAGAATTTTTCGAGAATTTTTTTCAAAATTATTTCTCCTATACGTTGAATATATTTTTTTTGTGGACATGATAGTTTCCACGGAATTTCATATTTCTCTTATATATCACGAGAATATTAATAAAAATAGTAATTTGCTCTTATCATCTTGATATCAACTTGATTTGGCTAGTTCAGCTGGCTAATGGTAGAAAATTTTTTCATAATGTGTCATACAAATATAAGTGGATCGGAAGCATGATTAGTATTTTTTCACTTTTTTACTTTTTTACTAAAATATTTATGTTTGTCAAGGCTAATGGATAGAAACTGTGTAGCTCGAAGCAACCATGTCATTCAACCATTTGTGTTCGTGGAATTCATCGCTTAACATTGTTTATACAAATCATATTTATCCCTCGGATTACAAAAGTTACAGAATATTTAGAATATATTTAAATTTATATTTAAATATTTAAATTTACATATTTTCCAATTGATGCGAATAGTAATCATAATTAAGATAATTGGATCCGAATGGGCCTTTCTCGACATGCAATCCATTATTGCATTAATTCCAGAAAGAATTGTCATATCTTTTATCATCACTTTATCTGATTCTTTCCAAATTCCCATATTTTTCATTAACACTTCTCCAATCATTTAAGACCCAATTATTTTGGAAAATTATAAAAAATATGGGCAACTGCCAAAGCTAATGGATTTGAAAAACATTAAGAAAGATGCAATTAACTTTTTAAAAATAAAAAATAGAAATTTAAATTATAACTATTTTATATTTTTTTACTATATTTACTATTTATTATTATAATAATATTTACTATTATAATCATTAATACTCCAAAAATTTCATATCTTCAACAAATATATTCTCTAGCATTGAAGGAAGAAATAATACCAAATGACTGGAACAAAAAAATTCCACTGCAAATTTCCTAAACAAGACGATAAATCATAATTTAACAGTTATCAAGGAATCAGCCTGATCGACGTTTCCGAGAAAATTTTCTATCGTCTTCCACTCAAAAATCACCTGATCAAGCTAAGACTTTTTATCGAACGTGGTTGAACCGGCCTATTCGCTTGGAAAGAATGTTGGAATTGTGCTTTGATTATTTCGCTGCGAAAACATTTTATTTTGACCTGCTACAAGAATGGATGCCAGAATCATTTCCAAAAGAAAATGAAATTTTCCATCGCCAGAGAATTTTTAACCAAACTTATTTGATGCCCGAAGCATATAGAATTTATCATCTCTTATTTTTATGGTGCAAAAGCGCTTTTCTATTTATTAATTTAGTACGTTCATGTACGTGCCTATTCTGAAATTAAAAGCTTAAACTAGAAAAGCCTAGTGTCCATTGTCCTTCATCTTCAAGTTCCAATAAGGGCAAAAGCATTCTGTAGTGAAATATCCCTTTTACTTCATTTTTATTAATAATTTAACATAAATACTATTGTGGTACTTACAAAACGTTCATTAACTTTATCTCCTTAAAGAACTTTTTGTAAACATATAGGTTTTTTAATGGATTTCCACCGATTTTTGATATCGTTTTTCAATAAAATTAGTTTCTCTCGTATTATTTTCAGGGTGTTACCTCCTTTTAGCGATGCCAAAAAATATTTCACTACAACTAGCCAGTTTTCATCCATCATTAAAGGAACAGATTTTCCCTATTTTCTTTTTTATTTTTTTCGCTAATTCTGCGATTTCCATTTATTATCGCAAATCACGAGTTTTATTATTTCTGTTAAAATCGAAAAATTTCAACAAAATTAATTTATTAATTAATTTAAATTAATTTATAAAATCTATACGATATAAATGAAATTCTTTTGTGGCAATTTTTATTCCATCGTTTCCTATTTTTTAATCCACAAATAATCCTTTATTGACGTAAATAACTTTCGCATCCATTTTTATTATCATATTTACTATCATTTCTATCATTACAATAATAACAAATTCATTATTATAATTTTATCCTTGCAATTTGGTGTTTTAGTTGTATTTCTTCTTTTAGGACTTTCCAGGACTTTATGGTAGAACTATTTCGAAACTGGAGGATCGGCAATAAAATTATATCAACAGAAAGGGTTAATAATAATAATAATAATAATAATAATAATAATAATAATAATAATAATAATAATAATAATAATAATAATAATAATAATAATAATAATAATAATAATAATAATAATAATAATATAATAATAATAACATTTTTTCTTTGTTTTTCTTTATATTATCGTTCTAGTAAAGCGTTTAAAAAAAAAATTTGCCCAGCAAATAAGTTAGAATCAGATTCAGGAGATTCCATAAAAAATCCATGGAATTTGTCAGTTCCATTAATTTCTTTAAGCAATGCTATACAATCCATGTAATTTTACTAATATCTACTTATTACTACAATTGTCGAGCTTTCTGTGGCTAATTACGAGTTTCCCTTGATTCTCATATATTTGACGTTATAAAATTGAATGGATGTTGATTTGTATCTCTACCGAGAATCGCTCACACTTTCTAAAATTACTTTCATGCATCGAAATTTTAGTTCTATTATTATTAAACATCTCGATTTAGACGGTAAATTCCCCGAATAATTTCCAAATATTTATGCCAATATTTATGGCAATTCTTAAATCGAAAGGTAGTATTGAAAACCGTTAAAAGATCTCATTGTTCTTACTATTTTTAAAACAGGAAACGCGAAAAATCTTATAAATTATTTGCATAAACTTTGTTGCGTTATAATTAAAAGCTGAAAAATTTCCGCCTATTTTTAAAAACTTCGAGGGCCTCAATTCCTTAAAAGAAGAAATTTTTTCATTTTTGAAATAAATTGCAATATTTTGGCTAATTAATATGTTTTAGCCACAAATAAATATTTATTATACCAAATGACATTTGACATTAATGCGCCTTTTATAATGAAATATTTGAAATATTCGCAGATTTATTTACAAAGGAAATTTATTTTTCGCTTTTATTGCTATCTGAAGATTTTATCAAATGAAATTTGATAAAATTTGCATAATTATACAAAGACGGCGAATAAAATATTTTCGTGAAATTAAAAATTAAAAATAAAAATTAAAATGCAAAATAGAATATAAAAATATACAAAATACAATAGAATATAAAAAATCATATATGAACGATTATTTAAAATTTGAAAATTTGCAGAAAAAATATTTCAGTGCATTTGCAATTCTATGCTTCTCTTTAATTGTCACTTGAGGATAGGAAAACCAATAAATTTTCTACCAGTAGATTGCGATTGTTTCCAGCGGAGCCTTTTTTTCATAGAGTAAATTCCATTGAACAATAAAACCAATTTTTAGTAAGTTTAGCTGTTCAATGAAAGCTAAATTATAATCTTAATTACAAGCACAGTTTTTCCGCGTATTCAATTGGTATCAAGAAATCGTTTCTGCTGATGAAAGAATATTCATGTCATCCTTAAATGACAATCATGATTTACACCAGAATACATGTTAAGAGCCATATTAAATTCTGGTATAAAACCAAGCTCGATAAATTATTTGAAGAATGACAAGCAAATGGGAAATTGAAAAAATTTTAAAAAAATAAAAATGAGATTAAAAACAATTGAAAAAACCATGCTTAAGTGAGAAATTAAAAGAAGTAAAATTTGATTTCTCATTTTCTCCTTAGGTAGTAGTGAAGGTACCATTTACAGTGAAATCCGTATGGCTGATGATCTGTCAGCATTTTCCTTTTCAGATAACTCCTTGGTGAAAAGTTGGTCTCTTGGCACTTTCTTGGACTATGTGAATATCATTGTATGGACAAAGCCATAAACATTTTTAATGAGTAGCTCAAAATGAATTTGAATTTAATATATTCAAGACAGCTATGGAAAATCTACTAATTAAAAATCTTAATTTAAGAGCAAACAGAGGTTTTCTCAGTTTACCTGTCACCTGTCACATGGAAGTTCAAGACAAGACTGGTATCATGTGAGGAAAAAAATAAATTGAATCCTTGAATAAATGAATCGCTTTTTATAAAAGAAGAAAATTTTCCTAGAAGAGACTTATTTAGTATTTTCACAAACAGTAAAAAATAAATTATGACTCGCAAAATTTACCCTAAAATTTGCGATACTATTTTCAAAAGCTGCTTTCAAAATAGCTTTACTTAATTTAGTATCTTTAGAATAAATGATAATAGATAAAAATTTTTTTTCCAATGGTTTTGGCTTGATTTGGCTTGTGATTATCAATTTTACTTG